AGACAGGGTTTAAGAATCTATAATTAGTAAGTGGCATAGGTAACTCTAATGTGAGTAATGGGCCTTGACATCCTCAAGTTCAACATTATAGCTCTGAGAACAGCCTGCTGTAGAGCAGTAGAAAGAAGATGAATAGCCTCTTCCATTAAATTATTCACACTAAGTTCAGTGGGTCAGATGCCAAGGTAACTAGCCACATGAAATAACATCGTACTACATAGAGTATTTCAAAATCCAAAGGAGGAAGGCATGGTGCTACACACCTTTAATCCTAGAACTGAAGGAGGCAGAGGCAGGGAGATCTCTGTGACTTTGGGGCCAGCTTGGTGTACAAAGTAGACTCAAGTGTCAAAAAGAATAACAAAGTTTTTAAAAATCCAATGGAATCATTTCTGGCAGGGATTGGAGAGAAAACCTGAGTGTTTTCTGGGTAAATCAGTCCCTAAGAGGTGCATGCATACTTTGATTCAATTATTAATACTTTCATCCTTTTTTTTTTCTTCTTCTTCTTCTTTTTGAAGGAACCTTGTTTATCTTGCCTCTCACATGCTTAAGGACTCACTGATGCATTTGAGTTTTGGACAGGTTTTTTTCTTTAACTGTTTTTTTTTTTTTTATCATTAGCATCTGCACATGTATTTCAAAGGATGTTCAAAGTGCTAAAAATGCTAAAAACCTTGCACTCAGGTTTCTTGGAACTTCCCTATTTTATAGCCAGCCTTTACTGTGGGTTTTCTTTTATGCCAACACTGTATTCTGAGTTACTAAAATCCCAGAACCAATGCTACTTCCTCCCCATATTCACCTTAAAACAGCCCGTTTGTTTCCTAATGTAGATCTGGAGATGCTATCAGTCCACAATGGATGTGTTCATTCTTACATTCCTACCACGTGTCATAACTGAGGTTGCCGCATGTGAGAAATCAAGTCGCTTTATCTGTAACTGCTTCAAGAGTTTGCTGTAAATGTCAGATTCATTAGATAAGACTGACACCATCAGTTCAGCAACTTCAGAACCCTGAAAACAAAGATTTAGGCCTACAAAGATTAAATTAAAATTTTTTCTTTTCTTTTCCTTTCTTTTTTTGTTTTTTGAGAGTGGCTCTTTCTGTGCAGTCCTGGCTGTCCTGGAATTCACCATGTAGACCAACCTGGCCTTGAACTCACAGAGATCAACCAGCCTCTGCATCCTGAGTGCTGGGATTAAAGGTGCATGCTACCTCTCCTGGCTAGCAATTCTACTTTCAAGTATACATTCTATTAAATTAATATTTTCCTCCAAGATATGAGCATGGACTCTTATTTTTCTATTTGTATTTTTAATTTTTTTATATTTGTATTACATTGTGTGTGCGTGCATGTATACGTGTGTGCAAGTGTGTGGGGGGGGTCAGGGGACACTTGTAGGAGGAGTCAGTTCTCTCTTACCAGATAGGTTCCAAAGATCCAGCTCAAGTTATTAGGCTGGGTAGCAAACATCTGAGCCATCTCACTGGTGCCAAGATATGTTATTGACACAGCTAAGGATTACAAACTACTAGCTAGCCCCCAATGGGAATGCATGGATTTCCCTGGAAAGCAGAAATAAAATACATCTTGTGGGTGGACTTGACTCAGGTGGGGATGGGAACAGGAAGAGTCATGTCATGGATAGATAGAGAGAGGGCGTACTGGGAGAGACAACTAAAACTGGAGGAGTTTCAGAGCAGGTCAGAAACCTAGTGCAGTGGAATCTCCCTGGAATCTGCAAGAATAACCCTAGTTAAGACTCCTAGTAATGGGAAAGACAGATCTTGAACTGGCCACCTTCTGTAACCAGGCAAGGCTTCCAGTGGAGTGACTTGGATATCTACCCCACCAAAAAACTTTGGATGTAAAAAAAAAAAAAAAAAAAAAAAAAGTATGTGTGCTGGGGTAAAGGTGTTGCAGAACTTGTGAGAGCTGCCAACCTGAGACCCATGCCACAGGAGGGAGTTCATGCCTGACACTGCCTGGAGGTCCAGGACCCAGAGGCTGGATAGCCCAGAAGCCTGGGATAGAAGCAAAACAGGATTGGGAGGGGGATGGACAGGCAATGAAATTACTCCTAAGGATACTCTGCTACAGGTGAAGACCAAAGCCTAGCACAGTCATCATCAGGGAGGCTTCGTCCAGCAAATGATGGTAACAGAACTCAGTGGATCCTGAAAAGGAGGAAGGAGGACTGTAGGAACTAGAGGGGCCAAGGACACCACAGAAGAGAAGAAGAAGAAGAAGAAGAAGAAGAAGAAGAAGAAGAGGAGGAGGAGGAGGAGGAGGAGGAGGAGGAGGAGGGAGGAAGGTGGAGGAGGAGGAGGGAGGAGGAGGAGCATCAACTAACCTGGGCTTATAAGGGCTTACAGGGAGCCTGTATGGGCTTAACCTAGGCCACTGCATATATGTTATGGTTTTATGGCCTGTTTTTCTTGTGGGACTCCTAACAGTGGGATGTGGGGCTGTGTCTCTGAATATTTTGCCTGCTTTTGGGACCCTCTTCCTCCTACTAGGTCGCCTTGTTTAACCTTTATATGAGGGGAGGTACCTAGTCTTCTTGCAACTTGATAGACCATGTTTGATTGCTATCCCTGGAAGGCCTATCCATTTCTGAAGGGAAAAGGAGGAGTGGATCTAGGAGGTAGGGACTGAGAGAAGAGGAGGGAGAGGAATCTGCCACTGGGATATAATATATGAGAGAAGGATAAATTTTTAAAAAAATCTTAGCCCCGTATCAGCCTGATGTTATCAAATGCACAATAACTTCTCACCAAACAAGTTTAGTATTACAGCAAAGGCCCGAGCCCAGAACATTTCTAACATTGGTCCTTCAACACATGCACTTAGGGATGCGGTGTTTAAATATTCTGTCTTAGACAACTATTCTTTTCCATGTAAATATTGCCTTATTTCACACTATTTGAAAAAAAAAAGATGAATTATTCTCTTAAATAATTAAAGTTTACCCAGTGAGAAGGATTTCTGTCCCAGAACTGTCAAAGTGTTAATTAGTTTCTCTGAACTACAGTCTATATTTAGCAAAGAATATGGCCCCCTTGATGTGAAGGAACAGCACAGAACATTTGGGGTCAAAGGGCCAAGTCGTCCTGTAGATCAACTCGTGGTGACTTGTTGGCTTGTCCCACTCCAGAGAGGTCACCATACTTCCCTGATCTTGCTTCTCTTGCCTGTGACAGAGATGACCTTAGACCTCAAGGAGGGAAAGCTGGTTTCTTTCCTCAACATACCAGTTATTGAAGAAATTAAGTTTCTGTAGAAAGGATTTTAAATATGTTACAGTTACATTTTCATCTACAGGCATCCCTTCTTCTGTGTGATTACTGTGAAGCTGAAGTTTCGAGGGTTAAATGAAAAGGACAGAAATAGCAGAGAAGATGAGTTCAAGAGACTGGAGACACCTTGGGCAGCGAAGAAATCAATGAACTCAACTTCGAAAGTTGTTCCATTCTACTATGCTCTTTGTATATGAGAAATACACGTGAAAATGAGAGGTAAACAGCCTTCAGTTTTATTTTGTTTCTCAAATGTTTTATTGTACTGAAGTTCGGAAGCTAGCAGCTCTCCTATGAAAGCACTTTACGCAGTATTTGCTTCTGTTGCCATATCACTGATGTGTGGAGACACATAACAAAAAGTGCTGGGTCAAAGTTAAATAAAAAAGCACTTACTCAATGCAATAGCAAACACCTTTGCTCCCAGTGCTGGGAAAAAGGAAGCAGAAAGGTCTTAAATTCAAAGCTTCTCTGGGTACACAGTGAGATTTTTTTTTCCCACTGCCACAAAGATGCAGTCTGGCAGCACAAAGGGGAACAAGAAGAGATAATCTGAAGTCTGATGACAGTAGCTATGGTTTGTAAAAGCATAGTCTCATAATAAAAGATGTAAACTGAAATAAAAGAGAACTTTGTGACCGAGTTATAATAGCAGGTGGGAAAGTAAAAGTAGCAGTTAGTGTTTTTAAACATGCTTGTAAAATCGCCATAGATTGCAATAGCACCTAGAGCTAGACTTAGCATTGATCCCCAGAAAGGAGAAAAGAGGGAGGTGACCGAGGAATAGAAGGAAAAAAGGGAGAGAAAAGAAAAGAAAGGGAGGGAAGGAAGAAGGAAAGAGAGGAAAAGGGGAGAGAGAAAACAAGAAAGAAGGAAAGGAGTAAAGAAGACAGAGAAAATGAATGGAACAACAGAGAAATAATAAATAAAAGTACAATATGCAATCCAAGCCATTTAAAAAATTAGAAATTGAGATAGGGCTGATTATGAAATAAAAGAGTCAGATAAATGGGAAGAATTTCATGCCCTTATGGCAACCACAGTGGCTGCTGTGCATGTGAACCTCATATGGTTTGGGAAGACTGTAATTCTCTCAGTATGCAGTGAAAATATTGTATATATGTATATATACATATGTACACATATACATATATGTGTGCATAATTAACAATATATATATATATATATATATATATATATATATAAACACTGTGAGAAAACAAAGCATTTTCATCAGCAGTTTACAATTCTATAACAGTATTTGAATGGGGCATAGAAGGTTAGAATCAAATAATTTAGTGTCCAAAAAAGTTCTTCTTTTAAAGGTGAAAATAAAAATGTTGATTCACCTTTTAATTTTCTAAATTTAAGAAAACAAATCAAACATTGCATAAAGAAGAAGAAGAAAAAGCACCTAAGTTTCACAGGCGAGTACAAATAAAGAAAACCACAACCACAGCCAATACCAATCACAGGGTGCTTTCTTGTTGGCCTTCCGAAGACCGGCAGAAACTATACTTTTGAACCTGTTTTCACGTTCGTCCAAGATCTTGAGAGGGAGAAACAGAGAGCCGTGGGAGCAGAGAGAGAGAAGAAGTTAAAGAGAGGGATTGCATCAAGAAGCTCCCTTGATTTCTCAAGTTCATACAACACACGGTAAGGACACTTACCAGATTCAGCATCTACCCTTCGGTGATGGAACCAACAGCAACCCTGCTTTATTTGGATTACCTTGACGCTACAAGCCCAGATCCTCCTCTCATGAAGACTCCCTCCCACATTTCCTACACATCTGTGTTTCTCCCTATCTTTTACACAGCTGTGTTCCTGACTGGAGTACTGGGGAATTTCATCCTCATGGTTGCGCTGCATTTCAAGCACGGCAACCGGAGACTGATCGATGTCTTCATCATCAACCTGGCAGCCTCTGACTTCATTTTCCTCGTCACACTGCCTCTTTGGGTGGATAAGGAAGCCTCTCTAGGACTATGGAGGACTGGCTCCTTCCTGTGCAAAGGCAGCTCCTATGTGATCTCCGTGAACATGCACTGCAGTGTCTTCTTGCTCACGTGCATGAGCATGGACCGGTACGTGGCTGTCATGCGCCCAGCCTTATCCAGAAGGCTGAGAAGGAGAAACTGTGCCCATGCGGTCTGTGCCTGCGTCTGGATCGTCTCGTGCCTCCTGGGGCTGCCCACTCTACTGTCTAGGGAGGTCACTCTCTTGGAAGGCAAGCCATACTGCGCAGAGGAGAAAGCCACTTCCATTAAACTGATGTGGGGTCTGGTAAACTTGGTCAGCACCTTTTTTGTCCCCCTGCTGAGCATTTTGACCTGCTACTGTTGCATCACAAGGAGGCTGTGTGCTCATTACCAGCAATCGGGAAAGCATAACAAAAAGCTGCGGAGGTCGATCAGGATCATCATTATCGTTGTGGTGGCCTTCACCTTCTCCTGGTTACCCTTTAATACTTTCAAACTCCTGGCCATTGTTTCAGGGCTACGGCCAGAACTTCAGTTACCCTCTGTGTCTTTTCAGCTGGCCATGGGGGTGACTGGGCCCTTGGCGTTTGCCAACAGCTGTGTCAATCCTTTCATTTACTATGTCTTTGACAGCTATATCCGAAGGGCCATTGTACGCCGTCTGTGCCCTTGTCTGAAGAATTCTGACTCTGGGAGCAGCACTGAGACATCAGACAGTCACCTCAGTAAGGTTTTCTCCAACTTCATTCACGCAGAGGATTTTGTCAGGCGGAGGAAGAGGTCTGTGTCACTCTAAGAGAAGCTGCGGCATGTCAAGCTCTGTTGGCACTCTTAGGAAGCTGGGTTTTGTCAGCAGCAGAGAAAGAGGAAAGCATTAATGTTGAAATTCATATTGCTCCAGAAAATCCAAGGAAGTGCTGATTTGTTTTTTAAAGGCCTCCCTGAAGAGCTCCTGTGTTGTGGACGTAATTATGCCATTTGCTTCATTTTCAGCTAAACAGTCTTACTTGGTAATCAAGCCAACTGGGTAAAATATAGACTCCATTGTCCTTGAACTCAGAGGCTGGTTTCTTCATGTGTGTCAACACCCCTTCAGGCCTTTCAAGACCATCAACTGTTCGCAATGGGCTGTGTTTTGAAGACATACTTTCACCTGGTAAGGCATGCAGTGGGGTGCAGGATAACAAGAATGTGGGCTTGCACTCTGTAGCTCACTGTCCCTGAGTCACTGACATGGATTCTGGCCCCATTTAATATTCTGTCTGGTGAGTCTTCATCTCCCTCCAGCGTTGGTTTTCATCCCAAGCCATTCTCAACAGCTTTGGACTGGCCAAAAAAGAAAAATAAAAAAAAATACGAAACGTGAGGATAAACCACTTTGCATTGTGCTTATGAGTTGAGACTCACCTCATCACCCAATCTGAAATATGTTAGCAATTACACATTGTGCAAGGTTTGACGTTCGTCTTGTAAGAAACGTTGGTAACAGTGCAGCTTATGATAATGCTACGGTAACTGCTTTTGTAGAAGACTTTAATATGCTGTTTGTTTTCGTTGCCTTTATAAATTAGAATTTGACTTTGTTGTAATTACATGTTTTGAATTGCCTGTCATCTAGTTATCAAATGAAAATGTTACTACGAATGTAATTGGAGCTTGGAGGCTTGGGCCCACCCCCATGCAGACTATGGCTTAGGGTTCTAATTAAAATGTTACTGTGTACATTCCTTTAGCAATTCGTTTGCTTGGGGTATATAATTTCAAGATGATGCGGGATGCTCTGTATCCAGCTGAAGTACAGGGTCTATAAGAGCAGTGGTGCCGGTGTGCTACCCATGCTTTCAATCCCAGAACCCCTGAGTCTTCTGACCTCATTTATTTGGCTTGCACCCATATTTAAAGCCAAAAGAAAAATAAGTACAATTAATGGCAACAATAAAAGACCACTGCAGCAAGTGGGCTATTGTAAGCTTGGGCTTTGAGTCCAGAAAAAGTGGGATTTTATTCCCACTGTTGACACAAATGAATTACCTTTTTGTTGCTAAAAAAGTTCATGTTGGACTGAGAAATAAGAACATACAGATTATTTTCAGAGACTAGCTTACTTAATTTCCTCCCAAATATCTTTCACAGTAAGAGAATCTCAGATATTGGGCATGTTCTTATATTGAACCTATTTTGAAGGTGAAAGTACAGGTTTTGGTTTGACAAAGTATTCAATTTATTTATTTCTCCATACTGTTAAAAATAAAATATTATGTCCTTGTATAGGTATTCTTCATATTAAAATATTAATTTCAATAGCATTAATACCAGTACCAAAGGTACTAAGCAGTTATTTAATTTTAATAGCTTGTTGTGTTTATAGAAAGAGACTATGTAAACCATAGCAAATAAACTTTTCTGAGAAAGTTCAATATTGAATTCAAAGTAGTTGAACAGTTCCTCAAAGCTTAAGCAAAAGCAGAATGCAGAACATCAAAGATACATTTTTATGCATGCAGAACAATGAAACAGCTTACTAATCACGGAAATTACTGCTTTTGAGAAATGCATCTAAAAAACTAAGCTGAGATAGACATTGGAAATGCGAATGGTTTGGAGATTACTGTAAGCATTGTCTTAACATCGTGTCTTAATTATTCCAAGGACCAATATCAGAATCAAAAGAAACAGCACACATTACCAAGAATCTTCAGAAGCTAAATCTGACACCCTAACATATTATATCTTACAGGTTACACCCAAAGTTAGCAAAACAAAGCAGAAGTAATCTAAAGGAAAGATGTAGTAAGATTGCTTGTTTTCATTTACTTGAAGCTATTCTAGGTCTTTAACAACAAGACCAACAGTAAACCTACGTCCAAAGCATTTTCTAAAGTCATTTTCTGGAATTTACCTTAAAAAAAGCCCTTGATTAAACTCTTGGCAAACTGTTGCCTTATAACCAATGGTTAGTTTTAAGTGTAATGAAGACGCACGCACTAACCTGATCCTTCTTGAGATCCCTGTGATGTGTGCACTCTGGCAAGTCCAATCACTTCTGTGCTGACCATAATGCTCAGCTACGATGTGCATGACCGAGAGTCGTCTACCACCATGGTCACAGGTTAATTTCTTTCTTTCTTTTTCTTTTTAATGCAGAGAGCACACTATGTAGTGGTGGGTGGAAGAAATCTTGCTCTGTGATTCATCTCAACCCCTCAAATCACTCTCCTTTCTCACTGGCAATCTCAGAAGTGAGAAATGACTTGCCTGCTGTGCCTGGCCTCAGGAAAGAATAAGCCTAGGTTTTTCTACAGACCTCATTCACAAAAGTCAAACAACACTACAGTGGCTGTAAATTAATTTTTAAAAGCAATGCCATGGATGTGTAGCCTGCTAGCAGGACCATGGCTGCAACCTCGTCAGAGTGGAAGAGTCAGTGGGTCATTCAAACCACTGAAACTGTTCCAAGTTTCTTGTCTTCCATTGTTTGAATTTCTTTCTGCAAGTATTTACCTGTGATCTTTGCTTGCTTTAAGTCAACATTTATTATTATTATCAATTATTATTATTGGAGATTGTCCAGAGGAACAATATTCTGATTTTATTTTGCAGATTTAAAAAAAAAAAAAATCTCCCTACCGTACAATGAGTTGCTTACATTGTTTCTGTTTATGTTAGTCATTTTCATGATAGAATTGTATTTCATAACTGAATTGATAAATGAGAATCACGCCCTAAAATATGACCACAGCACCCTTAAAAAAAGCCCTGCTTATGCTGAGCCTGATGGCCAACTGATGGGCAGAGTGAATGGAATTCTGTGTAAGAAGTGGGAAATGGTAAGAGCTGGAGGGGACAGGAACTCCACAAGGAGAGCAACAGAACAAGATAATTTGAACACAGGGAACTTCCCAGAGACTCATACTCCAACCAAGGACTATTCGTGGAGATGACCTGGAACCCCTGCACAGGTGTAGCCCATGGCAGTTCAGTGTCCAAGTGGGTTACATAGTAATGGGAAGAGGGACTGTCTCTGACATAATCTGATTGGCCTGCTCGTTGATCACTTCCCCCTGAGGGGGGAGCAGCCCTACCAGGCCACAGAAGAGGACAATGCAGGCACTCCTGATGAGAACTGATAGACTAAGATCAGAAAGAAGAGGAGAACCTCCCCTATCAGTGGACTTGGGGAGTGGCATGCATGCAGAAAGAGGAGGGAGGGTGGGATCGGGAGGGGAGGAGGGAGGGGCTTATGGGGGGATACAAAATGAATAAAGTGTAATTAATAAAAAATTTTAAAAAATGAAAAAAAAAGAATTTGTTTAAAATACATTAAAAACTGAAGCAACTATAGAGGCACTAGTTATTTTTACAAATTCTAAATAAATTTATTATTTTTCTCATTTAAAAAAAAATTCCAACACAAAAAAAGCCCTGCTTTAAATGCCTAGTACACTAAACTATAATATGAGCTCTTTTTATTCTTATTTTTTCACAATTTATTCATTATGTATCCTGATTGAAGCCTCCTCCTTCAACTCCTCCCAGTCCCACTCTTCCTCCCTAATATGAACTCTTAAAACAGTGTAAGCTATCAGTTCCAATAAAGAATCTATTTGTTATACATATTAAATTAGTATACCCAAAATTTCTAAGGCCCAAGTTATTTTAAAATTATCATGGAACGTTTTGTAGTTGTTGTTTGTTTTTGGTTTTGGTTTTGTTTTGTTTTGTTTTGTTTTGTTTTGTTTTGTTTTATTTGAGACAGAGTTTATTTGTGTAGCCCTGGCTGTCCTGAAACTCAAACTTTAGACCAGACTGGCCTCAAATTCAGAAATCCGCCTGCTTCTGCTTCCTGAGTACTGGGAGAAAGGGCATGTGCCACTACTGCCCAGCTTGTGTAATGTTCTTTAGTTGGCTACTTGTGCTTAAGTTGAAATGCTACGATGGAACCTGATAGGCTAGGGTCAGACAGTAGAGGAGAAGGGCTTCCCCTATCAGTAGACTAGGGGAGAAGGATAGGGGAGGAAGAAAGAGGGAAGGTGGAGCTGGGAGGAGACCAGAGAGGGGCCTACAACTGGGATACAAAGTGAATAAGCTTTTTAAAATAAATAAATAAACAAATACAAAAAAATCAATAAAATAAAATTTTAGAAAAGAAGAAAAAAGTTGAAATGCTGTCCATTTAGACAAGTGTCTATTCAGAAGATATGCAATTCAAGGTTGACCTTACTTTTATGATTTTTTACATATCTTTAACTGATCTTACAAGTCTAATATTCCTTGATTATTTCTGTTGCTTCTAACTTAGAAGGTTTAATAATTTACTAGTCTCCCATCACTCCCTTCTAAGAATTAAGTCTTCATCAATAATACTTCATACTTCTCAACACTGATAGGAAATTTAACACTTTTGTTTGTGTTTATCAATTCTTTTTAGAAAATGCTTGCTTTTATCTCATTGCTCATCAAAGGATAAAAGTTTTCCTTGAATCATATGAAAGAAGGGAAGTTAGTATGATATGGAAAGGATAGGAGCTCTACAAGGACCAAATATATCCGGGCACAGGGTCTTTTCTGAGACTGACATGCAACCAAGGACCATGTATGGATATAAACTAGAACTTTGGCTCAGATGTGGCCCGTGGTAGCTCAGTAACCAAGTAGTTTTCCAAAGTAAGGGGAACACAGACTATTTCTAACAGGATCTCAAGGGCAGGCTGTTTGACAACCCCCCCCCCCCAGGGGAGGAGCAGTCTGTTAGGCTACAGAGGAGGACTTTGCAGCCAGCCCTGAAGGTACCTGATA